CAAATGAAGCCCGGGATTTGAATTTCCTGGGCTTCATTTGCAAGTGCGGTATGCCTACATTACCCTCCTAGTTCGAACTAGGAGGGCAATGTAGGCATACCGCACTTGCAAATGAAGCCCGGGATTTGAATTTCCTGGGCTTCATTTGCAAGTGCGGTATGCCTACATTACCCTCCTAGTTCGAACTAGGAGGGCAATGTAGGCATACCGCACTTGCAAATGAAGCCCGGGATTTGAATTTCCTGGGCTTCATTTGCAAGTGCGGTATGCCTACATTACCCTCCTAGTTCGAACTAGGAGGGCAATGTAGGCATACCGCACTTGCAAATGAAGCCCGGGATTTGAATTTCCTGGGCTTCATTTGCAAGTGCGGTATGCCTACATTACCCTCCTAGTTCGAACTAGGAGGGCAATGTAGGCATACCGCACTTGCAAATGAAGCCCGGGATTTGAATTTCCTGGGCTTCATTTGCAAGTGCGGTATGCCTACATTACCCTCCTAGTTCGAACTAGGAGGGCAATGTAGGCATACCGCACTTGCAAATGAAGCCCGGGATTTGAATTTCCTGGGCTTCATTTGCAAGTGCGGTATGCCTACATTACCCTCCTAGTTCGAACTAGGAGGGCAATGTAGGCATACCGCACTTGCAAATGAAGCCCGGGATTTGAATTTCCTGGGCTTCATTTGCAAGTGCGGTATGCCTACATTACCCTCCTAGTTCGAACTAGGAGGGCAATGTAGGCATACCGCACTTGCAAATGAAGCCCGGGATTTGAATTTCCTGGGCTTCATTTGCAAGTGCGGTATGCCTACATTACCCTCCTAGTTCGAACTAGGAGGGCAATGTAGGCATACCGCACTTGCAAATGAAGCCCGGGATTTGAATTTCCTGGGCTTCATTTGCAAGTGCGGTATGCCTACATTACCCTCCTAGTTCGAACTAGGAGGGCAATGTAGGCATACCGCACTTGCAAATGAAGCCCGGGATTTGAATTTCCTGGGCTTCATTTGCAAGTGCGGTATGCCTACATTACCCTCCTAGTTCGAACTAGGAGGGCAATGTAGGCATACCGCACTTGCAAATGAAGCCCGGGATTTGAATTTCCTGGGCTTCATTTGCAAGTGCGGTATGCCTACATTACCCTCCTAGTTCGAACTAGGAGGGCAATGTAGGCATACCGCACTTGCAAATGAAGCCCGGGATTTGAATTTCCTGGGCTTCATTTGCAAGTGCGGTATGCCTACATTACCCTCCTAGTTCGAACTAGGAGGGCAATGTAGGCATACCGCACTTGCAAATGAAGCCCGGGATTTGAATTTCCTGGGCTTCATTTGCAAGTGCGGTATGCCTACATTACCCTCCTAGTTCGAACTAGGAGGGCAATGTAGGCATACCGCACTTGCAAATGAAGCCCGGGATTTGAATTTCCTGGGCTTCATTTGCAAGTGCGGTATGCCTACATTACCCTCCTAGTTCGAACTAGGAGGGCAATGTAGGCATACCGCACTTGCAAATGAAGCCCGGGATTTGAATTTCCTGGGCTTCATTTGCAAGTGCGGTATGCCTACATTACCCTCCTAGTTCGAACTAGGAGGGCAATGTAGGCATACCGCACTTGCAAATGAAGCCCGGGATTTGAATTTCCTGGGCTTCATTTGCAAGTGCGGTATGCCTACATTACCCTCCTAGTTCGAACTAGGAGGGCAATGTAGGCATACCGCACTTGCAAATGAAGCCCGGGATTTGAATTTCCTGGGCTTCATTTGCAAGTGCGGTATGCCTACATTACCCTCCTAGTTCGAACTAGGAGGGCAATGTAGGCATACCGCACTTGCAAATGAAGCCCGGGATTTGAATTTCCTGGGCTTCATTTGCAAGTGCGGTATGCCTACATTACCCTCCTAGTTCGAACTAGGAGGGCAATGTAGGCATACCGCACTTGCAAATGAAGCCCGGGATTTGAATTTCCTGGGCTTCATTTGCAAGTGCGGTATGCCTACATTACCCTCCTAGTTCGAACTAGGAGGGCAATGTAGGCATACCGCACTTGCAAATGAAGCCCGGGATTTGAATTTCCTGGGCTTCATTTGCAAGTGCGGTATGCCTACATTACCCTCCTAGTTCGAACTAGGAGGGCAATGTAGGCATACCGCACTTGCAAATGAAGCCCGGGATTTGAATTTCCTGGGCTTCATTTGCAAGTGCGGTATGCCTACATTACCCTCCTAGTTCGAACTAGGAGGGTAGTTTAGACATACCCTGTCTTATCTCAAGTTGCATCTGTTTGTGATGCAATTCCCACAGGAGTTGGGAAGTAAGGGGAGGAGGAAGGACTGCGAGGGGCTTAGTAGGCAGAGTAGAAATACATGGCATACTGCTTCTTGCACGGATCCCTGGGGTAGGGCAGTGCTAGGAATCGGCCCCAAAGACTGGGCCAAGCATTGGCTTTGAAGAATCAGAGGGAAATGCCATTTGACTGGGTAGTAGTAGGCACCTGCTCCTGAGCAATTTACAAGCACAACCAAGAAAGCAGGAGAGAGTGAGGATCCCATGCCCTCAGTGTGTGAAGGCCATTACCCCCAGAGCACTGCTGCTGGAGTGGGACTCCCATCATGGGCTGTTGCTTTGGGAACCCTCTTCCCACTTTGCTCCCTATGGACTGTTTTTCCTGCCTTAGATAAGAGTGTGGACCCTGGGAGACCCATTAAGGCGCAGTCTTCACTAAGTCAAACTCCTGCTGCCTTTGCCTTGGGTTCTGCAGCTCAGGCCGTGCCCTTAACACAAATGCTGAGGATTTCCCTGTGCTGGGGGTCCCCATTCTGCCTGGGCTGTGGAAGGTGCAGGAGCCCTGAGTTGGCTGCATGTGCGTTAGAGCCCGGTGCACTTGTCTGGCTGAGGAGACCCAAAAGAAACACCCAGGGACGCTTTGCAGTGGAACCCTCTGTCATTAAACTGCTGCTCCTCCCTGGGGAAAACTCCCGTGACGATTGGGGGAGTTTTGCCTGCGAAAAGCCGTCAAGCGCTGTCCTGCTGAGAATAAGTGTCCATGTGGGGTGCAGCCATGGCGGGCGGGGACGGCCTTGTCCCTGCCAGGAGAGGCGCATCCTTTGCTGCTTCGGCTCAGAATGGCTGGGATTGTCCTGCTCTGACCGGCTCCCCCAGGGCCAGGCGCTCTCGGCCTCTCCGCGCTCCTTACAGGCCAGGCAAGGCGGCGGCTCGCTGCAATCGGGGCAGGATTCCGAAACCGCCCTGCGCCGTCTGGGGCAATGAGAACAGACTGATGGCCCAGAGCAAGAGCGAGTCCCACGGGCGCTTTCCAAGGGGGGAGCCCCGCCCCGAGGCCCGGGCAGGGGGATGCA